GGTGGTTGATCATTTCACTTATCTTGGCAGCTGCATCAGCAATGATGGGCGCATAGAAACTGACGTCAGCTCATGCATTGCAAAGGCCAGAGCTGCCTTCTTGAACCTGCGTCATCTTTGGAGACAGAAGGGAGTTTCCTCCACCTGAAAGGCCGTGTATACAAGGCCACAGTGAGGGCCGTTCTGCTCTATGGTAGTAAAACTTGGCCCCTTCGGTCTGAAGATCTGAGGCGCCTTCAAGTCTTTGATCGTCGTTGTTTGCGAAGCATTGCTGGTGTCGGATGGCACCAGCGTATCCCCAACGATGATGTGCATAGGCGAGTGCTAGGTGGTGATAATCATGCTAGCTCCCTAGAACAACAGATAGCACTGAATAAGTTGCGTTGGCTCGGGTACGTGCTACGCATGCCTGGTCACCGCTTACCTAGGAGGGCCTTGTTCAGTCTGCCAGGTGTAGGATGGCGCAAGGCTCGAGGTGGACAGAAGTTGACTTGGCAGCGGGAAATGAAGTCACTGACGACCAAACTGGGTGCGGTTGGTCCGTCTCGCCTTCCGGGTTGGAGTCCACGTGACTCACCTTGTGCTTCGCTCGAGACTTTACAGGACATGGCTCGCAACCGACACCAGTGGCGCGTCTGCTGCCGTCTCCTAATCGGATTGCCTGTTTAAAGTGTGTTTGGTGCTGAGTTATCTGCGGGATAATGCCTGATTATGACGCGTGGCAGTGAAAGCCGGAAGGAAGCTGTCTCGCCGATGCCGCCTTATCTTTGCACGATAGCCAGCTGTTTGTGACGGTATGTTGTCTACGCAAGGTGTAGGCGCCTTGACCCTGAATGCTTGCTTAGGGCATTAAGGTTTTCAGGTAAGTCCCCCTTCTCTCCCTCTTCTTATTCTTTATTCCATAGGTCCTCATGATTGTATGGCAGCGGAGCATCAGTTCAAATGGCTGATATACTGCTGTTGATGATGATGATGATGACCGATCCGCATGGCATTGGTTCAGCGAATGCCAACGGTGACAGGCTGCTCTCACTGCGTGCCACTCACGGCCTGACCATCACGAACACTCGGTTTGCACTGATTGTGAGTGATATAGGAACTTGGACGCACCTACGGAGTGGTCACGCTCACCTCCTCGACTATGTCATCGTACGTCAGCGAGACATGCGTGAAGTGCGCATGACACGTGTACTGCGCGGAGCTGAGTGTGGCACTGATCACAAATTGGTGCGTATCTAAGTGTACGTATATTTTCGTAAACCTACGTATCGCACTCACACCGTGAATAATGATAAAGGTAACATTCTCCCCTTGTGTAACGTGGCGAAACGTATTGAGCCGTAGAAGGCGATGGCTGCACGACTGTGTGATGTGCAATGCATAACCACAGTGGGCGACCTGTTGCACCACATTCGCGACCACGTGACATCTGCTACCGAGGAGACAGACCATCGGGCGTGCAAATTTTAAGCAGCGTGATTGGTTTGATGAGAACAATGCGGCGATTGGCGCATTGGTGTCGCAGAAGAATGCAGCATTTGATGCACATGTGGCAGACCCCAGTGACTTGGGGAAGAAGAAGGAGTTTGGGCTAATTCGACGACGACTGGCCCGAGAGCTCCGTCGCATAACAAATGCATGGTGGAAGGAGAAGGCGAAACAGATGGAATGCTACGCCGAACACCGCCAACACTAGGAATTCTTTGACTCGTTGATGGCAGTGTATCGACCGAGGTTGAAGCCGCTGAGGACGCAAATCGATGGTAGCCCAGGTGCCACCTGCACATAGATTGCAGACATAATGCAGAGCTGGCAAAAGCACATCGACTGTCTCATGAACAATCAATCAGAGATCGACTGGTCCACTTTGAACGGCCTGAAGCAGCACGATGTGAAGACGAGTATGGCGGACACGCCGACACTGGATGAGAAGCAAAGAGCACTTGTTCAGCTGTGAAACGCCAAGTGTGCCAGTGCCGACGGGATCCCGCCTGAAGTATTGTAACACGGTGGACCCGCGTTGGTGACTGCGCTGCACCACTTGGTGCAACGCGTATGGATTGAGGAGGAGGTGCCTCCTGAGCTGAAGGATGCCATTGAGCTACCACTGTACAAGGGCAAAGGTAGCAAGCAATGTTGCACGAATTATCGTGGCATTAACTTGCTGAGTTGTGTGGGCAAGGTGATTGCCCGAATCCTGCCCAACCGCCTCGTCAGGCAGGTTGTGGAACCTAAAGTAGCGAAAGAGCAGTGTGGATTCCGCTCGGGTCGCAGCACTACAGATATGGTGTTTGCAGCTCGTCAGTTTCAGGAGAAGTGTAGAGAACGACACCAGCATTTGCACTCGCTGTTTGTTGATTTCACCAAAGCATTTGATACAGTGAACCGCGAGGCATTGTGGCTGGTGTTGGGTAAGCTTGGTTCTCCGCGTAAATTTCCGAGTTTAATCGGATGTCTGCACGGTGGTATGCGAGCGAGGGTGCCGCTGAGTGGAGAGACCTCGGATGACTTTGCAGTTGTCTCTGGTGCGAAGCAAAGCTGTGTCTTAGCTCCAGGCCTGTTTAATATATATCTTCATGCTACGATGTCTTGTGTTTTTGATGCGTCTTATGCTTACGGTGTTCGTGTGAAGCACTGTATTGATGGTGGGTTGCTGAACGCCCGTCGTTTCGATGCGAGAACCCTGGTCTGTGAAACAACTATCCGTATGTTGCTGTTTGCTAACGACTGTGCGCTGTTTGCACGCAGCGCGGATGAGTTGCAGCACATGACTAGTGCTCTGGCTTCGACAGCGGCCAAATTCGGGCTCACCATCAACACAAGCAAAACTGTCTGTCTCTTTCAGCCTTCACCGGAGGTGCAATATTCAATATTGCCGCAAATCAGCATTGGTGCTGAAGTATTGGAAACCACCTCCCGCTTCTGCTACCTTGGGAGTGTGATCTCGACTGATCAGCAGATACACATGGAGCTGCGTATCCGCGTCTCGAAGGTAGCGGCGGCATTCGGGAAGCTTGAGTACCGATTGTGAAACAACCATCAGCTTACCATTGGCACGAAGCTGATGGTGTACAAATCCATGGTACTGTCCGTTCTTCTATACGGAAGCGAAGCGCGATGTATCGGCGGGATGTGCGATATCTCGAGCGGTTCCATCAACAGTATTTGCGAAGCATTCTGCGCATCGGATGGTGCGACAGAGTTGCGGACACGGAAGTGTTGTGACAAAGTGGAATGTATGCAGTGGACTGCATACTTTTGCTGAGACACCTGAGGTGGCTCGGTCATGTGAGCCGTATGGATTCGACGCGGATACCGAAACAACTGCTATATGGTCAGCTGATTACTGGGAAGCGGCATGTGGGGAAACCAAAGTTACGTTACCAGGACATGATCAAAGTGAGCCTCTCACGTTCTAATCTTGATTTCAGATCATGGGGATCAAAGGCGGTTGATTGGCGTGCATGGCGCGATCTGATCACGAAGGTAGTTGCCGAGGTGCAGGAAAAAGACCTCATGCATGCGGAGAAAAAGAGGCAAGTGCGGAAGCGACAGGCGCCGATGGGTTGTACTTCACTGACATCGAGCGCATGGTGCTGTAGCACATGTGGTTGCGAGTTCCTGTGTCAGGCAGGCCTAGTGAGCCATGAGCGACGCCACTCGGGGCCACCACCGAAAGGAGGACAGGTCCTGCAGAGAACGCAGGCAGAACCGGCGCAGCGTTTGTAGGTACGTTGCATTCGATTTACTATACGCTTTTTTGCACGCTGGGTCTCTATTTTAGGTGGTGGGTTTGCTATACTTTCTCCTTAATATCTACCTGAACTTTCCATTAACTTGCACACGTCGCGCAAGTTAATTGTAGCTGACTTTGATATCATTTTCGCGGTTGTGACATGTTCTTAAAATATCTTTTCTGATTTCAAACATATAGCGGATTTTTGGGCATATGCTCATACGTTGTGTCCCATGCGGGGGCTGATGTTGCATTCATGATGCTTCTTCACTGCAGAGGGCTAAACCAACTTACACTTGAACTAGGTCTTTTTAAGCTGGATAAATTTCACTCCATGTGAACTGGTTTGTTCTGCCTAACAGAATAATCTTCTATTAACCTGCACACGTTGGTTACGCTAATTGCGCTTATCTTCGTTAAATTTATCGCGTTTGTAGCATGTTTCGAGTAACTTGTGGAAATTTGTACTTGTCGCTTATTCGTTGATAACCAACTTGCTTCATATGCTAATGTAGCAGAGTTATGTCTGCACAGCCGTATGCTTTAACAGATACACTTTATTTGATTGTTATTTCAAGTGATTAGCTGTTGCTTGATATCCCCACTGTGGCTGCGCTTCAGGTGCATGTTGACAAGGTGCCTACTTGTCTATTACCCACTACCTCATCTATACTGGCTCTAGGAGACAGTTGGTCGTCGCTGGAGGGGACGGGGTGCACGGTCCTTGTGGTCGTGCAAGGCTCGAAGAATGGTTCCACACATCCAGGATGGAGCGGACTACGGTCCAGCCACCGCCTTGTGTGCGCTTGAATCCCCAAATACAGCGTGCTTGTGTTTGCCTGTGAAGGATTGTGGGCCGGCTCCGTTGATGAAACGTGGCTCCCATCAACATGCCTACCGGTCTTATTCCTCCGGGTTTACGCTAGATATGGGGTGTAGTTGGAGCTGTGTGTGGTGCAGCGCAAGCCACCCATGGTCCCTCAGTAGGCGCAGGCGTCATGTGGCTGGCCACAGTGACAGACAAATCCGAAACCGGATGCCACCAACCAAATACAAGGAATTCATATTTGGAGTTGAAATATACGCTGTGCCGTTGGATTGCGACAGGTGGAAGGTTGGATGATGCGAGACTATTCGCTTCAATCTCGAATGACAGCACGTTGCTATTCCTTAAAAAAAACTGCCTGCTCATCTCAAATGGCATCGATGTATCATTATCGGATGGACGTAACATAGGTCTTCACCCAACTCCAATGGAACGTACCTGCATTAAAGAATGAATGCGTTCCATTATATCAGGAACAATTGCTTTGATGGACTCTGTCATCCGATTGGTCAACCGATTGACAGCACGTTCCTCTGTTTGGTTGATGCAGAAGCGTTCTTTCAAAAATTCACAAGCACTGCTTTGGTCCCTGGCAGTGGTTCGCACGTCCATATTCGAAACCAATGAGAATAAAGTGAGAAACAAATTCGCGTGCCTAACGAACAGGAGAAAGACAAGAAATCGTAGCCTTACCTCTGGGGAATAGAACAAAATCATCCACAGTAATGTGACCAGAAGTTGGGCAATGCAATGAAAAACGCATCCAAGTGACCATTCCCTACGTGGACATAAGGAGTGCTTAAAAAGCAGGTATTGGGGGTCGGTTAGTTCTTTAGTTCGGTCAAACAGCTACGACTCGGGCACCAAACGCAATCCACAAGACTCGTGCCGTTACGATAACGATAGTCGACAGCAGTAAGGAGAACGATGTGGAGTACAAAAAGAAAAGAGAAAGGGAAGTGAATAAAATTAACTGAGAACAAATATCCGATAAGACCGTTAACCAAAAGGTGGCTTCATCCACGATGGTAAGTACCAGTACAAGATACGTCACTTCAAAGAAATCCTTAACGTGGAGAGAGATGGAATTTGTTTGACCTAAGGTTCATAGTATTGGGTGGTGACGAGTGGAGAAGTAATGACCTGAGCAAGAAGAAGGGGAGCCGCAGTGTGTAGTCCGTTTTGATGAACCAGTATGAATGGAATCAGAAATAAGTAAACATTCACGCAGTACAGAAGCAGCATGTAATATGAGTGGTTCTAAGTTGGAAAGTTTGGGTGATATGGTGTAGTAAGAAGAAGCGGATAGGTTTACACAAGGACCGAAAAACTCACCGCCGAAGCACCAAGAAAGCAGTGAAAGTTATCTTCCAAAATTCACTGAACTGGTTCGTATTGGCTCCACCCATCGCTTCAATCATGCTACGAGTTAAGCGAACTTCAGTTGCCATAGGTTTTGGGTCATTTCCAAATATGAAGCTGAAATCGATGTGAAACAGGCGACCGTCATTGGTGAGCAACAAGTTCTCCATGTGTCTGTCGCCCACACCCAGTAAATAAGTGATGACGCAATAACCAGCTGTTTCGAGGGGGGTAAGCGAGAGGGATACAAGCAATTCAAACAACTGTCACAATAAACCTAAAAAGTAGCATGATTCAAAACAGGCGTTGACCTTCACAAGTATAATTTTAGACGGACCAAAGATATGCCATTAAACTGGACTGCTGAAGAGCGCGCAATGTGGTAGAGGAAATGCAGTAGGATTACAACGCAACACGACCAAACAAATATCCCACCCGAAGGCGTTCAACCGGATGGCACAAAAGTGGACAGCTGTGCAACGCATCAAGGCTAGGTGAAAGCAAAAGTTGACAACGATGCCTGGCCTAATTTCACAGAATACACTTTACGTGTTACAGAGAAAGAGAGTGAGGATTTCACTCACCACATGATCGAATGTAAGTCTCCATGACCTCTTTTTGCACGCCTAGTGGATCAGTTGTGCTCGGTGCATTCTGCTGCAGGAAGCTAAGAAGTGTGCCCTGTTGCAGTATGTCCTGTATCGATGTGGATTCGATGAACTGCACGAAACCTGAGGAGGTCATAAATGCCAAGGTGAATGAAGGGAATGTTGGAAATATGGATAAAAGATCAGGCTGATACAGAAAACTCCACACCGACATCCATCGTAGGAATCGATCATGCATAATTATTGAACTCACCATGACTATTGCCAGTAACCAATACCTTGTACGGGGTCAGCCTCAAATCGAAGTTCTCTTTCCTTAAAATCTGCAAACCCAAAGGACGGAGTATAAGGAACGTCATATTGCAGGGAATGCATTGGATGGTATCGCGAGGTTGAAACCAAAGATGATGTGAAGCGAAGTGATAATGATGTTGGTGTCCGACAGTAATTGGAAAGAATGACAATAAGAAGGGCTTACTGTATCCATCAGCGCAATCATTTGTAGAACAAGTTGATCACGACGTAAGTCATCACCATGTTTGAAAATCACATTGTACCGCTCTCCGTCAGGTAAGAGAAAAGAGAGAAAGGCCGGACGCCGACTACTCTGTGGGGAGAAAGCAAAGAATCAAGGATGAAAGAAGAAAGCCGATTAAGTGGATGAGGAATTGGGATGATGATGATGAAAACTCTAATGCAGCTGGATGCGTATAGGCTAGATGGAGTTGTCGCTTTCTAACTAACTGCTGCTTGATAATAAAATAATAATTGTCCGATAGACGAAACAAGATGATCGAGGGCGGTAATGCCATAAAGTAACGATGGTGAAACCATTGGGACCGGAAGTGCACTGTGAGATATGAAGATTTACATTATCATCGTCATGGTATGAGGTGGAATCAGATCAGCGACCCACAGTCATGCTTCGAGGCCTGGTGTTGCCTTTTATGTAGGTACTAGATACCTAAAAGAATCGAAACGTGCGGAACGTAAAGTTAAGATGGTTTATATGCAGATAAGCGGTTGTAATGCAAAAAGCTAGTGGCATGAACCAGAAAGCAAACGAAGGGGGGACCGAGACTTACTTTGAAGAGGCTAGAGGAGGAAGGATCAATCCCACATATCTTGACATCGGGACTGACGGGCAGACAGAGGGGTTCATCTAGTCGGGTAAGGCAAGAGTAGTCTTCAGAGCACAGAAAGGTACGAAGCAACTCAATCTGATCGAAGGGTGGGGAATGGAGTGAAGAGAGAAGATCAAAAAGGAGTTGACTTCTCCATTGAGGTCATTTACGGTTGCACGAGCTTCATGAAGTGCGTACCGTATCCAAAGACAAGTACGATCATATAAACTCCTAGCAAACCGTCCAAAAGACGTGGGCATTCTGGTTACAAGTAAAAGTGCGCTCGAGTATTTAAGAATGGTGGGATACAACAATGCAAAATGAAAACAAATTGCATTAAAGTTCCATTCAGTGATGAGTTTCTCGCATAATAGGTGCAACATACAGTGACTAATGGAACAGAAGGAAAAACGAACGCCACCCCAAATGCAACGGGGGGAAACAGAATGCTGAACGAGTCATGACGCCGAAATGACACCTGGGAGGTCATGGTGTAAAACAGATGAACAGAAGCGACCGACACCAAAGGATGAAGAAGTGATCGAGATGTTACACATCAAGGAGCAGGTGAAATAGCGTAAAAAGTCTTGATCTTGCACGAGTATCAAGGATGAAAAATATTCCCAGTATGTTCATAGAAACGAGTCATAAGATACTCGTTTCTGTTTGCAAAATTCCGTCGTCAATCAGAGGAATCCCATTAATGATTGCAATTGTGATGAAGTGGGTTTAGAAGAATGTGTCACATTTTGAGCATTTAGCGAGATAACTGAGAAATTGGGAAATGAACATGCAAAGAGGACAACACAAAGTCCACCTTCACATACCGAACTAGGGATAATCTCTAGTACTTTAAAACGGACGAACCTGAAGAAAACAAACGAATCCAAAGGTATCGAAATGCAACAAGCAGCCAGAAGGAAAAAGCGGTGCGTACTTTTCTGATCCGATTACCGGAGTCATCAGTGACTGCCTGAAGCAAGCGGAGCAGGTCGTCCACGAACTTGGTCTGCCGCACAAGTTCTCTATACCATAATTGTTGGGTGTCAGTGCCCTGAAATAGAAACAGCAGAGGTGCACGTAGTTGGTATTATGGTTCGTGGTGAATCGGATTGATCAGATGTATTTGATTTCAATTAGATCGCCGATACTTGTTGTTTAGGTGAGTAACAACAAATCGGTCGGCTATTCTGTTTGGACCGGTCTGTCTATGCATACCAACTCATGCAGACACTGCTGGTAGCGGATTTTATCAACTCGTTTCGAACCAGTTAGTATGTTATTCCTTCCCTTTTCCTCGACTTACATTTTTTGTAGACATTGCAATTATTATTGTGATGTAAACCGATGTAATCAGGTCTATCGCCCTCTAAGGCAAAATCAGTAAGCTGAACAGAAGTGGAATGAAGTTTATATGCTACAAAGTTAGAGTATTGGGGAACATATTTGAAATTTTATTGAGAGGTGCAGGACATTAGCAGAGAATAAGACGACGTGACGAGATTAGCGATCTTAGATCCGTAAGGTTGGAAATCGCACTCTCGGCTAAAGTAAAAAATAAGCGGACGCTGTTTTTGTAACGACGTAGTCGTTCATGCAATGGGACGGATTGGATGAGATTAAAAGTTATAGGAGATTATCGAGGTATGGACCAGCTCAACGGAATCAAAGCAGCTTCGAGGGTAGCAATTGCAGCAAAGTGGTGTAACGGAAGTAAACCGACTCACGTGAGTTAAAACGTCCTGAAGGCGGCGCAAAATGTGTGCATACATTTCGCTGGACGAGGACGGTGTTTTGTTGGCTTCCAGCCGAAGAAACCAGTAGAGGTAGTTCGATATGGACCAATCAGAAAGAGCACGACGCAATAAAAAAGTTGCCAAGTCCTCCTGAGTAAAGAGGAAAAATGAGCTCATTATAAAAGCTGAAAGGTTGTTGAGACTCCCCTCTGTAAAGGTAGGCTGATTTTCAACAAATGTAAAAACTGTACGCAGATAACTAAAACAGTGAAGAGAAAAATGAACGGAAAGTCATTGACCGCCAAGAATATGGGATGATGGCTCGACCTAGGTGAAACTAGCTCAGTAATAGAGAAGAGGAAGCAAAAAGCACCCATTTAAGTCCTCACTTATTTCATGTGCGCACTAACTACCGAAACAGCCCCCGCCGGATGGTGACGTGGCATCCATCAGCCTCAGACCAGCCTTGGACGCAAATCGATCACATTGTGATCAGTTACAGCTAGAGAGGCTGGGGCCAAAACTGCCGCTCTATCTGGAGCGCATGCGTAAACACTTATGATCTTGTATGCGCTGAACTGCGGGTGCGTTTTGGCGGTCGTGCTCGACGATCCTGTGAGCGCATAGACATCAGCAAACTGGCGAAGCCATATGTTCTGAATGTGTACCGAAGTACCCTAGCATTTGGATTGAGTAAGCACCGAATGAGTACAGTGGAATGTCACTGCTCACATGTTCACCAGACCTTACTAGTAGTAGACAAAACCTCATGTCGTAAATATAAAAGACAACATAGACATTGGGTCACTTCGCAATCTCTGGAATTTGTCAATGCACCCCGGTGCATTCCGGCTGGAAGCGAAAACAGTGAGACTAGCAAAGAGCTCCGGCCAAAACTCCGCGCCAGCCTGTAGAGAGACCGCGAATACTGCTGGTCTCATCGTGCGTCAGAAACGGAAATGGCCGCTGCCCTCGGTAACCATCGGAGATTATTCCGTCTGATCCAAGAAACGAGCAGCAGAAGACCTGGTGTTGGTGAAAATATATGTGACGAGTGAACAGCCTATCCACAACTTGTCGAAACACATGCAGTGTTGGACTGACCACTGTGAAAGGCAATTTAATCGGCCGGAATTGTTAGCTTCCTCATCTGCCAATGATCGCCTTCCTCCCTGGACTGTCCCTTTGCATCAGCCATCTCGCTTAGGAGTCCAACGCGAGATCGGACAGCTGAACTTGAATAAAAACCGCAGGACCAGATGATCTTCATCCAACCCACATCAAATTCAGGGCCCCACTCTTGTTGACGATTTACACCAGTTACTAGTGAACTTATGGGGGAAGGAAACTGTTCCAACCGACAGGAGCCTTCGTTATTATCCCGAATTTCAAAGGCTAGCGTTCGACATGCGACAGCCATAAAGGAATTGGTCTGATTACCATCACCACCAAATTGCTTGCACCTGTCACCTTTCACAGATTGATTAGCACTCGTGAAGACCAGATTCGTGCGGAGCAAACCAGGGTTTCGTTTCATCAATGACATATTTCTATTGCGTCAGTTGTTGGAGCAATGCCACATATATTGGCGGCCAACCGTAGTCGCGTTCCACGACATCAAAGGTGCCTTCGATTCGGTGGATCGATGTGCCCTTTGGAACCGTCTGTTAAAGAAAGGTGTGCCCGAGAAATATGTAAATATTATCCGAGCGGTTTACGCGCGTAGCTCAGGCAGAGTGAGGGCTTACGACCAGCTGCCGCCCTCCGTCAATATCTATAGCGGTGTAAGACAAGGATGTCCACTGTCACTTTTCCTCTTTAAGTTCGCTCGTGATGAAGTGATGAAGGTCGCGTTCACATGACATGACCTAAAAGGTGTGGAACTGTTCCCAGGTGAACGACTTCTTGAGTTGAAGTATGCTGACGAGATTTCCCTCATCTGTGACAGTTCACAAACATGCCAAGCGGCACTGGGCAGATTAGCACTGGCTGTCAACCGTTTCGAGCTATGCTTTGCACCCTCGAAGTGTAAAGCTGTCCACCAAGAATGGCAGGGACCGCCTCCTGCGCTGACCATTGATGAGGATCAGCCAGAAGTCGTTCAAAAGTTCAACTACCTAGATAGTTGTATCAGCACCGCTGGAATTCAAGACGAGGTTACAAACTGGATAGCAAAAGCACGAGGCGCTTTTGCTAACCGCCATCTATGGCGCCGGCGCGAAATCACTCTCTCCTTGATGGGTAGAGCGTACCATGCAGCCGTACATTTAACCCTGTTATACGGTTGTGAAACCTGGCCCATTAAATCGGAAGACCTAAAGAGGCTAGTTACGTTCGACCACCGGTGCTTTCGCAATTTAGCTCATATCTGGTGGTAACATCGTGTGAGAAATGAGCGTGTTCGACGCCTCGTTGATGGCACAGGAAGAAGTAAACCGCTCGGCACCGTTACATCACTGACCCGAGAAACCGGCAAGCACTATGCCCACACAATCTGTGAATCGAGATTTCAAAGTTTCACTGCCCGTTCTACTTACTCTTAGGAAGTACTAATTTCTGCCGAGGCGGCCGAATCTACTAAGACGTCTAAATACTTTATTCCACGTTTGTTCACTACCTTCATCCTTGGCAACTTCCTTCTGTTTCCGAGTCCACAACATCGGACCGCCTTGGACGAGTTCTCGCCGCACGCACCAGTTGAAGACTGAGGGTAAGCAGACCAATCGTATAAACAAACATTCCCTAGCGCCCTGTTCCCCATTCAATGTAGATACTTTCACTGACGCAGATCGGATAACAGGCAGCCATTGCACGCACTATAAAAACCGCTGGCATTGACATTTGCCGTTTTACTGAGATCCATTTACAGAATTATAGCACCTAGTCACGGCTGGTTGAAACCACTGCAAAATCCGCTAGGAGTTGCATGTTACGTTTATTTAGAATCTTATGTCTAAGCCGCTGGTCATCCTAGCGTGAGAACTGCATTGGTCACAGGTGCTGGGGCTGTGATATACGACTGGATCCAGGTTAACAGCTAGGACTGCACGGTTCCACTAGAAATCTCAGTACGCTCGTCGGCCGCGGACCCAGCAGACGTAGTTTGCTCCTGATAGCGGCATATGCTCCCACAGACGGCAGACCTGGCCTATGTAAAGAGGAGTTATGTTATAAGCTCTTCGACTTCAGAGAAAATGCGTCGCAGACATCAAGGCGCTCGCCGGATACATAAACGCGCAGGTCGACAAACTTTAAGTTGACGAACGTAAATTCGGTGGTCAAAATGGCCATGGTATTTGCAATCCTCTAATGCTGCTGTTCGTCGAACATGACCTACTTCTCATCAGTGCCAACTTCCGGTGACATTGAGGCCAACACAGCATTTAGAGATTTAATCATCTGGCAAACCGTGGAAGCAAATTGACCAGGTCGTTATCAGTTACTGCTTGCATGGCATCATAAACGAGTGGAAAACAATTCAGAGTACACGAATCACTTTGAATCACGCAGTCGTATGTGCCCAGGTCCATATACGTTTTGATGATACCCAGGAGCATCGCCCGAAACAGCCTGGCTATGTTTTCTGCTAAAAACTTGCTGAGTGTCTTTCAAGATGCGTTGGTCTCATGCCTCAAGAGTGTCTCGTGTTGAGACACATAAGGTATACATCTGCAGCGCGATGTACAACTCTGTAACCTTGGTCTGTGATTTCACTGGTAGTCTTGTTATCCACAGGATATCTGCATGATCTATCTAGCTTCTTGAACCCGTCTAGCAATTCCCGTTGACACTAAATATCGTTCACTACACTGGACTACTAACACGAAAAGCAAAAATATCCTCCGGGAGGACTGCAGAGGCTAGTGGATGCGGCGGGTCGTTAAGATGAAGAAAGTGGCCACCCCATGGGAATTTCAATAAGCTTTTTCTCCTGGTCCGATCCAGTGGTGGAAAAAGCCGATGGTTGGCGAAGTTTTTTGCGAAGGTTACGGCAAAGTAATACAATATCAAGAACGTAGACTTGTGTGTTGTGCTGAGCACTTCGAGCAGCAGTTTAGCCAGGTTGCAGTACCAGGGTTCCAATTCAGGAATCCATAGCGCTTCTTGGTGTCCAGACGCTTCACTAGAATCTGAGACTGAAGTTTTTATGACCTACGCCTCCTGAATCGCTACAAAGCACCTGACACAGACGAACTCCCACTGGCTCTTTGAAAAGATGGAGGCCCACAGATTGTACAGGAGCTAACTCCTCTCCTTCAGGATAATTAGAGCTCTGAAACAATTCCGTAAGATTCAGACCTAGTCGATATAGTTCCCATTTTCAAAATGGGTGCCTGGACACACTGCGATGGTCACCGAGGGATTGAGTTAGTTCGAGTTAAGTCCAAATTGTTCTCCGCCATACTTTCAAGAAGATTCAGCCTGGTACGCAAACAAAGCATGCTCGAAGAGAAAGCTGGAATGCGCTCTGACCGAAGTTGTATCGAACATATCTTTATGGGCATCTTTATCGAACATCGTCAATAAAAGGCATCAGCAGTACGTCGGCAAGCAGTGCCGACGCTTCGCTGCCGCGCAACCACCACCGGTCGCACATGAGCTAAGGGTAGTGCGAGGGTCGCACTGCCCCACTGCATCGCGAGATTACAAGACAAACTCGTTACTACTAGGCTTCAGACGGAGTATCGTCAAACGTTTGACCGGCCAACGATCGCTGTCTTCTTAGACATACGATCCTCATTTGGCTGTTGACCGAGCTGCTCTCCGGAATTGTCTGCTGAAATGGGAAGTGCTCGTGAGGTAGGTCAATATTCTTCAAGCCATTAACTCTCGAACCTCAGATCGAGTGCGGTTGTACGGCGAACTTTCGTCCCTTTTGATTATCCTCAGGGGTATAAGATTGGGTCTACCTACATTACACTTCCTGTCTAACTTCGCTATGCACAAGATCCTCGAGAGTGCCCTGGACAATTGCGAACACAGTGGTGTAGAGCCGCGCCCGGAAGACAGACTTCGCGACTTAAAGTATGTAGACGATGTCGGAGTGATTTGTGATTCCTCGCAGGCCTCCCAAAATCTACTGCGTAGGCTACAGGTGTCTGTAACAAATTTTAAAATGACCAGCCCATCAAGTGTAAGGCCTTCCTGCA